CGAATTTTCAAATTAATAAAAATTTGTTAATTAACCGAAATACATTCTTGAGACATAGGAACTTATTTTCCTCTTTTGTATCTGATTTATTCGTAACATTACGTAGGATTTAAAATTTATCAAACGTAGATCGTTTTATATTTTTTGATTGCATGATGGAAAAAATATTTACAAATTTCTTCATAGGTTCCAGATACCAAACATCACATATAATAGCCCATGAAGTAAGCATGCGAAAGCAATTTTCAAACCAGCCATGTTCGCTGCTATTCCAGAAGGGATCACCAAAACGAGAATCGTATTTCATTGCAATTGGATAGATTGTTGTTCCAACCTTAAATATTACTTCATACATGTTAATGTAAAAGAGAAAAGCACCAATTCCTGATAAAACACATAGCGCACCTCGAATGATCCTTTCTTGAACATCATCACTGACGTATTATTGATGCATGTACCTTCAGGAAAAATCAAAATTGGAAGCAAACTCTTATTGTCAACATGTTCTTTCAATCTAGAATTGATTAAGAAGTATGCAGTAGTTCGAACATTCGGCAAATAAAAATCCCAAAATTCCCCTCACAAAGTGCTATGAAATACATCCATTATCTTTTTCTGAATTATAATCTGTTCGCGAATTTAGGCTCCACCATACGCGTAACATATTGGTCTAGTCAGTCCAAATAAATTGCATAGAGAATTTGAAACGGTTTACTTTTCTGCAACAAATGAACGATCTCGAATTTCACTTCGTTCAAACCATATATGAGAACTTGCTCTACTAAGGGCGCGTTGCAGAATTCCAAGGAAACCACTATGACGCTGTCCAACCAAATCATACGCACAGTCCGTACTAAGTATCATTACATCAATCGGTGACGTATGGTTTGCAACACAAATTCCTTAAAAAAGCAATTTATTTTGGTAATCACAAATATTACATACAGACTAATAATAGTATGATTTGATTAAGATAAAAAATAGTTACCTCCATTTCGAGCCCGATTTTCACGATTATTGAATGTAATGACAGCAGACACACAACCGGATAAGATCTGATGACCACATAACAGACAACGCTCATTGAACCACCGCTTCTGTGATCCATCCGGCAATAATCCAATCAAGGCCGTACTAACAATTATGAAGCTAACACCAGTGAATAACAGAACCAAACGCATCGGAAGTAAAACTGTATATCGAAATAAAAATCCCAGAGCCCAAATAACCGATAACTTCCAACTGCAAAATATGTGGTAGGAACATGTGTTAATCTCAATTTTACCAAATCAGATTACAGAAGTCCAAATCGTACTTAATAAACTGATTGAAAGATAAACTAGTTCGGGTAAGCATGTTCCACGAAACGAGTTGTTCAGCTTCAAACCGACTGGTCACATCATCCTGGATAACTGCTTCAATGCCCGCCTGAAATTATTTATAACGTTGAAAAAAAAAACTTCATTCCGAAATGGGCCAAATCGCGGCAAGAAATAAAAAGAACACATCTTTATACAATCAAGTTCACAAGTAAAAACAAACATTTGTTCAAAAGCACCAAAGTAAATTGAACTAATTTCCAATGCAATCGGTTTCAGTAAAAGAACTATTCAGTATGTTTTATGAGCATGAGTTGCAACTTTTTTTAACTAAAATCATCCCTAATTGCTCATTCTTATATTTTCTGCTTATCATTAATTCATTGATTCGAAACCTTGACAAAATGCATACTGTCGCGTACAATCGCCCAACCCCGAATATTCGCAATTTGTTGTCCATTTTCATCGTCAAAATGCACCGATGTTTCTCGAAATATTATCCCTGAAGAAATATCTCCGCTTTCGTCTCTATAGCTTGAAGTATTAAGTCATAAAGAAAAACTTCAGCAAAAAAAAACTTACTTGGTCCAGAATGTCTTCTTTTTCGTCGTTTTGTTATCTTATCACCAGTAAAATCATCGAAAGAAGTAAGATGCTCTACCTCGAGATTCGAATTGTCCAAATAGTCACCGCCATTTACTTTCGTGCACAGATTTTGTGAATTTTGATTTTTTTCCTCAGCTGATAAGTGTATTTGTCGAGCGCTCCACTGCAAACCATTTCTATTTATTAAAAGGGTTCAATAATACTTTCAAAGCATAATGTGATTCTTTCTGGTAAAATATGAAACATTTTATTACCAGCTAATAGTTGTCATATTTTTAGGATAAAAATATTACCTCAAATATCTTGAGCAAGCAGCTCACATAGTAATGATTAAAACCAACAGACTGACCAAATAATGAGAGAGTCACAACCGTTAAGACCATTAATAAAACTGTTGGAAAGAATAGAGTACAAAAAAAAATAAATAAATATTCTGATGTGAAATCTGTCATCGCGCTCCGAGTTTTTCTGTAAATTTTCAAATGTAGAACTGAACATAAAATGAACGTTAGTATTTATATCAAGAAAAAATATGAATATATTGCCATTACAAGTTTTTAATATTAGCGATATATCTTTCACTTTTTTGCAGACATGTTCAAGTGAGCCGGTCAACTATGAAATAGTTGATGCATACATGAAAAATTACTGGCCAGCTAATAATGCTACAAAATGGCAAAGGACGTAATTCACTGAGTACATTTCCGAGCATATGAGAACTGCATTCTTAATAACTTCGATTACTTGCAAACAAATGACAGACTATACACGGTATACCAACTGACTTATTTAGATTGATTGACAAAGGAAATATCCGACCTTAACTTCCTGATACTTCAAACTATAAACTGTGCTAAGGGGAATTTAAGATGAGTTTGTACCTCTCATCAGTTGATAAATGAAAGTGTTAAACGTTTGTTGAATTAGAATGTAAGTTGAGACAGGAACAATTCACTTATTATAGCATCTTTGAAAGCAGTGTCCTTTTTCCTAATTAATGGCGGTGTCTGACGCAACATGATGAAAGTTAACTTGAACCAAGAGAATGGAAGTACAAGCTATAAATCATCCATGACTACCAACTTCCATTACAGCGAATCCAACCTTAACTACACGCATTCATTGTCGGCATTATACACCCATTCCATGATTGTCACATTTGTCTTGCTTACCTTCTTTGGTTAACGATATTCAAGTAATACTTTTATGGGCATTTAATCTTTTTATTCTTTTACGTTTACGAAATATTTTTTTTATCGCATCGCGAATTTTCAAATACCAAAATTCCCTGTAACTGCGTGGATCGTTTTTTTTCGCAGTGCTTTAGACACACTTCATACATACATTTATGAAAAAAACTTGCTCAAAATCTGTCACATACTACCCAAATATTTGGAAGGAGTACAAACCATCACTGCAGCGCAACGGATGTTGCCGATTATTTCAATTCATTTTTTTATTATTGAACGAAATAACGAAATAACTGAAATTAATATAAATAACAAGAAATAACAAAAGGATACATATACGCTTAATCTAGTAAACTGCATTCGATAATTTTGAAAAAATGATAATACAAAATACAGCGTATTAAAAAAGGATGAATACTGAACGAAAAAGAGACAAGATAAACATTAAAAGATCTGCGAAGCACAACCGAGAATAAATGGCTCGAAAAATATCTCATCTTTGAAATAATTACATAGAGAATACGCATTGTAAACTTATGAAAATAGATTTAGTATTTAGAGTTATAGAGGTGCATAATGAAATATCAAAACTAGTGTTTGCAGAATAAGAGATGCAAAATTGCTCAAAAGTGAGAATAGAAAGCAAGTTATACTCGTGAAATTAAATGAATTACTAATTTATCAGGTAAGGCAAAAACAGGAAAAAAATCGAATTATCAAATAGACACTATTTCATGGTGCTGGAGTTCTAATGCTCCATAAATAAAAACAAATAATTCTGGGTGGTAACAATGACTGACTTATATTTCCCTAGCCGATTAATTGTTATAGTATCGATGTGATTTTTGTAAGAAATTAACAGCGACGTATTATTAGTTCAAAAAATCATTGTTATCTGACTTCTTCATATCCAAACAGATTGCTGGAAATGAGAACTAACTGTGACTTCAAATATAGTAATAAAAAGAAGTTAGTGAAGGCAAATGTTAAAAAAATTGCAATGAATAACAACAAAACAATAAGAATCGAATCTTCAGCTCTGTGCAATAAATTAATGCATTAAAAATCTTAAATTATTGGACAACTTCGACATGAAAAAAATTCTTACAACTGTTATAACAAAACATGTGAGATTATAAGTCTACAAGCAAAATCTTCCCTAGATATGCAAAAAAAAGCATCAAAATAAACAGCAGTGAATTACTTCTAAATAGTTCGATAGCAAAACAAGTACAAAACCTCATAAAAAATGATTATTTCTCACAATAAAGTGAATGAAACAAAAGATGAGCAAGGAAAAGGGGACGATCAACATGAAAGGCAAAGGCACTGTAACTATTTTTAGTTCTGATTTCAAACAGCAGAAGCAGGTTTCATCAAATAACAAACAAAATAACTATTGCTTACAGCAACACTTGCAATGTTTGGTTTAATAACAACAATAAATTCAAAAAGAAAATTCAGGCGATCTGTGCAATAGAAATGATAGAACAAAAATGCCACAAATGGCAATTTAGAGAGAAGACCGAAAATCTGAAAAAATAAAGTTACTGAGGTATCATACTTCAAAGAAGAAAGGAAATGAATCCATAAGACCTGTAGTCTACAATTTTTCATTAGGTTAATAGATTCATTATTATGCGAAAGAGTAATGGCCACAAAAAAAATTAGATAGAACCTAATGCCAAAAGATAGAATGCTGAAGCAAACAAATTTAAAGGTATTATATTTCCAGACAATCTAAACCAAATCGATGAGACTTTTTTAATTTTCAAAAACAAACAAATAACAGGACAATAATGCTCACGTTCCAACAAGAACAGTGCTTTATTTTTACTCAACAAATAACCCTGATCGTTTCAAATTCGTGATCTTACTGTTGCTGCTATTGATTTTCAACACGTATTCGCCTTCTTGTTTCAGTAACATCGACCAATTTATCCAAGCATCCAACCGCACCAAAATAACCCTGTATATCGAGAATATTGGTAATGAGTTTCAAAGAATAATATATTATCAGTGATGAAGGGACTCTTACAAAATATTGCAAAATGAGAATCATTTGTCAAGTGACTCTTACTTCATGTATCAAAAATAGTGCTTTTTTCGTTCCTTTTGACCAAAAATTCATAGCATTACTCAGCAATCTAGCAGCAATGGGATTTACTCTCAGAAAATTTCCTGAAATATTATTTGCAAATCAAAATACACTGTGCTCAGAACTCAAAAAAACTGGTTAAGAAAAAAAAAACCAAAGACTGAGATGATATATTTTGTAAACAGAATTACTATATACAAAACATCTAACGTTTTTACAAAAGAAAATTACCAACAAAAACAATCCGATCAATTCCATAAGTTTTCGCTCCGTTAAATGCAATTGAACCAATATTGTTTGTTGTAGTTACGAGTGCCGAACGCGCAAGATCTTCAATTCGTGCTTTATCACGATCCTTCTTATTATATATTTTTCCAAAGCTATAATTAAATAATGTAAAATTGAGCAGAAATAATTAAATAATATAAAATTGAGCGGTGATTGAGAAATGTGTATAAAAATTACCTTGCAGCAATAACATCTCCTGGAAGACCCATTTGATCATAACCTGAGCCGTAAATATCTTTCACGAGCTTATCAACGTTCTTATTGTCCCCTCGTGATGCTAACTCAATTGCTTCTTCAAATGTTTCACACCCACACATAACTGCACATATACCTTGAAAGAAACCACCACCAATGCTGAAATTATGCATCCAATAATTAAGCATATAAATTTAAGAAGTATTATGTAGCTAAAAACTACTACCTACTGCCTCCAATTCGTTCAAACTGATTATGGCCACGTACAGCTAAAACAGATACACCACTACCAATATTACAAACGATGTATGGATACTGTAAGCCATCTTTCTTCTCGTTTTCTGGAACAAAATCTGATGTTGAGCAGCGACCATGTGACCATCGCCTACAAAATTCTATGATCTAAGAGAACCATTCTAAAATTAAATCAAAAAAAGACTGATTGTATATAACATACCAAATTACTTTTCTACATAAAGCGTCATCCAAAGGATTCTCATAATAATAGCATTCGTCAGGATTTGTTGCAGCAATAAATTCAATACCCTTAATCAGAGATTCCAGTTCATCTGTTTTGTGTAACTGCAAACCCAAATCCTAAAATAACAGCTTTATCGTTCTCTAATAAAAACATACTCATAACGGAGACTTGTAAGAATGATGAAATTCAGTAATAGGGTAGAAGCAAAACAAGTCTATTCAACTGATTTTAAATGAACTCATTTTTTCCTACGGATGAAAAAGAGACAAACCGTTGCCTCCTTAGCATATTTTAAAGAGCCGCCTCCAGTAGCGCATACTGTACTACTCATTTCGGCAAATCCCTTAATCTTAACCAAATGTATAAAATCAAGCATTCTGTCTGTTGGAAATCGAATGAAATGTATTGTGCCAATTCTACCCTGAACAAAGCAATTGAAGAATCAGAAACTGACGAGATGCGCAATATTTAAACGCCTGATTCGTATTCTCTATTTTTTCCAAATCCAAATGAATCTACTATAAACGGAACTGATTAATTCTACTATGGCATATAGCAACTTGAAATATTTTAGACATTGATCATGTTTCTTAAAATTTCTGACCAAACCTACTTCACTGTGAAAATTTTGGAACTCTCATCATAACATCATTCAAAAAAACGGAAAAAAGTTCTAATGATATTTGGAACCAACATTAATTCCAACATTACAGAGACGAAGATGATCGTCTCTCACACCACTGCCTCCATAAGCTTTGCTCGTCACAAGATACCGTTGAATTTTCTTACGCCGTAAAACTTCTTCTTCATTTTCAATAAAATCATTCTGCAATGCATTAATGACCTATAACATAGAAAAACTGATATTAACATAAATTGGTTCTGCATACGATAAAAGTGATTGTTCTGTCCTAGGATTTTACGTAATTTCAGCATAGTCCAAAAACATGCATGATCCTCTGGCTCGAAGTAGACAAGTTTGACCAATGTGCCTCCTATATCAATACCGAACCACGGCATTGCTGAAAATAATTTTTTAAAAAAATAGAAAAAAATCAGAAAGGACGGAAAATACCAAAAAGCTGAATTTCAACATCTTAATAACATTTTATCATATAACTATCATCAAATTTTGAGAAATAAAGTATGACAGCATGCTAAATGTATTTATTCTTGACACAAATATATGTTTTATCATATCGCTATTAGCAATGATTCGAACGCAGAAATTAAATTATTTGACAGATCGAATACTTTGTTTCCCTTCACTGGTTCTAGATCCAATCAAACGGTCTTCTAACATAATTTCGAATAAATTAAACAATACCAATGAATACCAATTCGTTGTTTATTAAGTATTAACATACTTAGGTATCACAAGTGAAGGAATTTTATCACAGACATAACTTGTAATTCAGTTAACCCAAGAAAAAAAAACTAAAAATTAGCAACAAAAACACTCACGGAATTCACCAGAAGCGATAGCGACGGTTCCACGCAGGAACCCTACAGAGTCGTCCTCAATTAGTATCACAGTTGCCTCGACTGATTTTATAAATTTTCAGTAAAACGTGAAATTATACACCATAAAAAGCATATAACAATGCAATTAAGCTGATAAATAAAAAACCAATATTACAATGGAAACTATCAATATCCTATCAGATCTTTGTTACAGAATAAGAATTGTTACAAATTGAAATGAGTTTTTAACACACATTCTGCAATGCATTAATGACCTATAACATAGAAAAACCGATATTAACAATGAGCGTATCTGATAAATAAGGACACAAACTATACGAACTATAAGTGATGCAGAATGGATACTCATAAAGCAAATCTTCGTGCAAGAATATGCATCGCAGATGGGATAATTTTAAAAAGGAGTGACTGATTCGAGTGTCATGCCTAAAATCATCAAAGGGCAAAAGCTTTCCCCACTTTCACAACTCAACATATGACTCCATTAAGAATGCCAAGAAAACTGCAGTACAATTTCTCAAATTTTTAATTTTTTAAATTATTAAAAAGACAAGAAAAGTCCAGCTTCCACTTTTAAAAAAGTAAAACAAAATAATTTCGTATATAAGCTATAAAGAACAGCTGCCAATCGTTTCAACTCTACAGCATCAACATCAGTAGAAAGCAGAAATTTCAATATGAGGATACTGACACATCCAATTGAGTATGTCGAAAATGATGCAAGGTAACTAAAACCTAAGCTTGTATTTTTTTTTTTTGGAAGATTGTTAGCTAATACCAAGCTGTGTTAATTATACGATAACACTTAAGAGCAAAAATTGATAATTCACTCGGATGAATATTAAAACATTTTGAAAGAACTTACGAGGCATAGAAAGTGAAAGTAATCTTTGTCTTCGGCGGACCACTTCACAGCGAACGTGTTTCACATCGTCATCCTTGTTCTCATGTCTATCCGTTCTCACATTTTCAGCCACCATATCATACGTAGGATCATCGCCGGACATAGCTGCCAACGTTCTCTTAAAACTAATCAAATAATATTGGCGTATTTAAAGTTCTCAAACAGCCTTCTCAATTCGCACGTAACGGAACATTTTATTCTGACACCATTCATCTTCTCCTTACAGGATAGGAGAATGAAAAATCACTGTTTCCCGTATGTTCAATTTCATTGATTTATAGCTTGCAAGATTTTACAATGAATTTTTAATTATTTCCACCATTTCTTATCGGCTGTAGATAATTTTCCATACAACATTCTCATTGGGAGTCTCATAATGATGTGACAAAAATTTAAGCAGATTAGTCGGATAGAAGCAAAATGTTAATAAACAGATCGGTTAATAAATTGTTTAGAGAGCGGAATTATGAAACCTTATTGGAGATCGATAGCTGTTCCTGCTTTGAAGTTGTCTTGTCATCATTGGATGACAACAATCAGTGGTCATCTAACCTCGAAAATACAACAAATAAAAAAGACAAACAAGAAATGTCAATCAATGTAAACATAATACAAGATAAAGGTAACAATATCATCGGCAACAGAAATTAGAATGGAAGGAAGCGAGAGAATTTAATGCGAAAAACTGATAAAAGAAGGAAAGAAAAAAGAACTTAATCAAGATAGAGAATTTATAGTCTTACTTAATTCGATGAAGTCAATAGACTTCCTGGTCCATCTTCCAATCGAACCAATGAAAGCATTGCTTATCCCGAAGATCCTTAGCTAACTGATATCTGGCGTAAACAAACAATATAGCCTTCGGTTTAGACAACATACATTTTAATGAACAATCAAACAACGACGGGATCACTTATTCGAGCCATAAAAGTTACAGCTATAGTAATCCATAAAAGTGAGACTAGCCAGGAATAAGCACATCATTATCATTCCCCTCACTTCCCTCCAGTCTCAGAGAAAAAATTGTTAAACAAAGTCAGGGCAATATGGACAGATGCAAATGAAGGGAAGCAATTGATCTTGTCTGTCCACACGACCGCCGCGAAATACTTCAGATCTATTGAGGTTGAGCAGTTGGTTGAAGCCTCCAAGCATCGTTGTCAACTGCAGAAGCGCGAAAGAGATCTCCGTTGTTCTCTATGTAATCTGTGCAGGGCCAGATTTTCTCGTGTTGAGCCAAGTTAGGGTAGAAGTTTCACTTCTGCTGATGCCTTCCACTCTGACTAATAGTTCATAAATATGTTAATAAAGATTGAAAAAGCGGGAAAGCATGCATTATTGAATTGATTTTTTTTTCTGAAACAACAGATTTGACTGCGAACATTATTTTATCTCCTCATCGATTGTATTATAAATTCCAGAAAAAAAAATTATTGTTTGAATCATACTTTTTGAACTTGTATAGTTTCTGAACTTTGCGAAAACTATTACCTTACAAACTTGAATTATTCATAATCCGACATGGTCACAGTATATACAACAATTCGACTGATTTTTAGTTTTTACCTGGCAGTGTTTTGATCCTCATTCCAAAAAAAAAAAGAAAAGCGACCAAAAGTATCTCTAAAAATGAAATATCCTGAATTACAGCCTCTGTTGTTTGTTTGTATAAAATTAATCAAAAAATTTTTTACATTCTGTTTAAATCTTACTCGTTTAAATTCAAACAACAGTCAAATACTCTCGCAGATTAGAATTCCATACAAATTTTTCAAAGTGATGGTGCATTCTCTCATAATGGCGTATTCCATGCTTTGTTACCTATTTGCTGTAATGAAAAACGAATGTTCATCATGCTAATATTAAAATTGTAAGGATCTCATACTTTGCAGTAAATAAGCTTATCGATTTCGATACAAAATTATCTTTACAGGATCCACTGTCAAACTTTTAGTTTTGTCCGAAACATATAGGTCCTTTTTTTTCCCCGGCTCAGTAATGGTTTTTGGTTTCTCCCTTAATACAATTTAGAAATGACTACATTTCTCCATTTTCTAGAGCTTTGGCTTTCGAACAGTGAGGATTCAGAAGAGATGAAGGAGGCTAAACTTTTGCCGTTAGATTTTGTTTGTCGTATGAATAATAAGCGTAATTCATTATCATCATTATGTAATGGATATTGATTTTTGCCGAACATCCATTACATCTTATGATTATCACGAAAAATTGTTTCAGCGGTAAAGTAAGTGAGAATGGTAATGAGCAACGTTTTCATATTTTTCAACTTGAAAGCAAAGCTCTAGAAAATGGAGAAATATTCCGTTATAACAGCAACATTGCAAGTGGATATCGTTCCAAAGTAAATTAGCGAATTTTACATTTTATTCTTGTTAAAAAAAGAAGCTGCTAATTAGGGCTAACAGCAAATGACAACAAATAATAACGAAGAAATGGCAAAAATGATTTGAATGTAAGCTACTGAGTTTTGGAAGTTGGACGAGATGTGGTAAAAAAAAAAAATTTTACAAAAATTTTACTCCTTACAAAATGAATTAAAATTTTGCAAAGGATTTTTGGAGTGTTGTGCACGGGCATAGATTCCAGTGATCAATTCTCAAAAATTTAAATCATATTATATACTACAGAAATTTATTATATTAAAAATGAACAATAATTAATGAAGACTGGGCTACGTATTTTATTTCCTCACCTCTGTCTTATCATTTTGGAAAGTTATCAATGATAAAGTCATTTCTATTCATATCACATGTTCCGCCTATAGCATTTCATTGACGAATAGCATTTTTATTAGTAATGTTTAATAAAGGGCGTCAATAAGAGAGCTCTGAAATTTCGGTTTGCTGAATGCTATGCTTTTTAAAGATGACTTTGAAATAGTTTTAAGAGGCATAAAATCAAAATTTGTAATTTCATTCTCATCAATCTTTGGTTTATAAATGCAATCGCAGATTTTGATTTTAGAAAAATATAATCTCCTTCCACACAGCGATGTATATGTTAACAGTTTTGTTGACTAGCCGATTTATCGAGAAAGATTTTCTAACTGATAAACACAGTGTATATGTTAGCATTTCAAACTTTGAGCCATTTTTAAACGAAACAAATACCGCTAATAAATTGGAAACATTTACATCTGTAAAAGTAAACGGAGTTAATATGTTCTAACAGATAAATTCGTATTTTTTGAAAATAGCACCCGAATGTGTGATGATTTTCTCAAATATCTTTCAATAAACCCATTCGAAGATTAGAAGTTTGCACCTTAATTTGATGGATGATTGGAGAATAACATGTTTGATTGAAAAAATCATAAAAATTAAAAGAAAAATAAAAGTGCTCAAAAAAAGGATACAACGAAAGTGGTAGCGAGAGAGTATTATTTTAGGGGGTGTATAATGATTTTTTAAACTTCTGCAGGGCGGTTTTAGGAGTTTAAAGTTCTCTTGAAAAATGAGAAATCGTCCCAATGGGAAATGACATAGATGATATTTTCTCCGCATTTCTGATTGTATCTTCCAAGCTTGTTTTAAATTCAATTATGATTATTATCATCGATTATCCAGTTCTCCTCATATCACTTTGAAATGCATAAGAAATGCTGAACTGAATAGGATCGAATTTGTACGGGCAGGGCGAGTTAATTGTTCAAGTACGGACGGTCATGTTAAGTAGCAGAGAGCAGGTAAACTCAATTGTTGTTACCTGCGGCACTACTACTTAGAATGACGCATCCTCGAGAATTGTTTCTAGGATGACTTAGCTATTCTTTTAAACTGAGGTTAGCATTTTTACAGTAAAGGAGTGGTTGATATGAAATCGTAAAACTGAAAAATTGAAGTTTCGAAAACGATGATTTTAATTATTATATATTTGCATAACATGTGAGGTGTAATTTTTATCAATATCATTTTTTTTTCAGCTAATTAAAATAAAGTCCGAAACTCGGCTAAAATTGTATTAATAATTCCCAAAAAATTTAGCTGCTTTATTTAAAAAAAAAAGGAAAGAAAACTGAAAAAAAAACTGGCAGTTGGAGTATAAAAGGAAAAGGTTAAAATACTGAGCCGATAAATGAAACCAAGTTTGACAGACTGCTGTCAAATAACGATAACTACTGGCTTCCATTCAAATCAATGAATTTCTAAAAAAATTCGTTAACCGGTCGAGACATCGACTTTTAGTTGAACTGACTAGCTTAACTGCTATTATGGAACTGTAATTTAAAAATGAATGGGTGGGTTAAAACTAAAAAATTCGATGCTGAAGATTACAAAAAGAGATAAAAATGACGTGATTTGATTGAAAAACTTGAGAGAGGGAGAGAGAGAGATAAATAAAGAGTGGAAAGGATAACATGAATCTAACTAAATAGAAATAGATAGCGGACTATTAGGATGACAAATGAGCATGTCCTTGCAAAAACATATTCTGTATTGTATGAACAACTGCATCCATTTCGTAACTGCTTTTCTGGAAATTTCCATCTACTCTCTTTCATTCCGTACCACCCTTAACTCCAATACTTGATTACCAATCAGTCGTATCAATCCTCTAGCAAGCAAAAGTGTTCAAAAAAGGAATCAAGCTAATCACTATATAACAATAAAATTTACTTATTTCCCGAAAATTCATAATCAAAAACAAACTTCTCGAAATGTTCCACAGATACAGTACAGATCAGTTCATTTTGGTAATGACAAACAAATTATCGAAGGGACGAAAAACTTGATTAACTGCTTTCCAGAATTGAATAATGAAACTATTTCCTTGGTAATTGATTTTTTGCTCGCAATGATTCTACATATTTAGGTCATTGGAAGTAAAAGAATAGAACGTCATTTTTCAAGAAATGAATTTAACACTGAACATTTATTTTTTTGAAATTTTAATTAATATTTAAAAGAAAAATGAAATTCAGCAATAATTATTTGCATGTGATGATTAAACAATAAATATAACATCACATGCTGAAGGTTTTGGCAAGACTGTGTGTCCGTTCAAAGACAGAGACATTTGTTCACTTTTTTTTTTTCTCTTTCTAATTCATTTCAAATTTCATTCTTATGATAAGGAACCTCAATT